GAAAAAAGATCAATATCCCGGGGACTGTTGCAAAACCTTAATTATCAGGAGAAATTACTAAACTGTCTAACTTTCAAGCAGTTATATTTTGTTTATTTTAATGTTTCATTCATTCATTCATTCATTCATTCATTCATTCATTCATTCATTTTTGTGCCTTTGGATCAATATTGACTGGTGGCTGCCTGGACAAGTCCCTGCACTTTCTTGGCAAGATTTTGGAAGTAGTTTGTCATTGCCTTCTTCCTCGGGCTGGGAGAGAATGACTGGCCCAAGATCATCCGTCTGGCTTCATATCAAAGGCAGGACTAGAACTCACAGTCTCCTGGTTTCTAGCCTGATGCCTTAACCACTACACCAAACTGTCTCTCTTCATTAAATTAATTGATATATTTGAATTATTATATTGTAAATTTTCTGTTTGGCTTGAAATGAAGACTACACATTATGGGGTTGTTGTAATAAATATGGCTTATGCAAGCTAAATGAAAAAAAAGTTGTATTTTCAGAATACTACAAAACTAGGAAATGTTGCACATCTAGGGAAAAGTACAGGGAAAGATAGATAATAGGCTTTTTTATTTAAGAAGTCTATGGTATTTGAGCCATTTCATTTTTCAAAGAAGATTGGTAAATGAGGGAACATGACACTGATAATCTATACACAACAAATGTGGGTAATTTTTTCTCCCTCTTACAAGTTTAGAATTTAGTGACATCCACTGAAGCTAAACATCACAGAGAAGTGTTATTTTGATGGCAATAATATTAAGTAAATTCATATTCCCTTGGGAGAAGAGAAGTTCAGAGAAATGGCTACACGTTCATGTAAGTTGTAATTATATAACCTGTAATTATTCTTCTCACCAAAAACTCTTGTGGATTTCTGGCAGGTACAGGGCATCAATGTGATATCTGTGGCCAAATATTCACAGTTACATTAAAAGGCACATTTTTAAATTATTATTATCATTTATTTTTTCATTCCAAAAGAGAATTAAGGAGATAGGATTCTATTGCTAAAATTTCTCTTTGGTCTTCACGAGGCTGTTAAGTGTTTATTGGGACACAATCATAGTTGTACATTATTCTGTCAGCAGAGAAAAATCTGCTGCATATTTTCCCCTCCCTTGACATTTGAGAATGCCATAATTAGTATCCAAAGTGTTGCAAGTGCTACGGGTGACTCCAACTTAATTTCAGGCAGAATTGTGAATAGCAATGCTGATGTTTTCTCTTATAAAGTTATGAATAGTATCAAATATATGAACTCACTCTCAATTCCATTTACTTTTTGGATTTTCAATGTTTCAATAGCAATATTTCAACAGACTAGAAATATTGTTACATTTTAGCCCCCAATAACTGAAGTTTATATTGGGTTGCCAATAACAAATTAACATTAATTAATTGTAGTGAACAAATTGTTTGCATTTTAGTGACTGAGTTGAATTAATTATCTTCATTAATTAGTTAAATATAAGCCTATTATCAAAATAACATCAAATGGGGTATGAATTTAATTCTCAGCCCCAATAATTGAAACATGTCAGACTGAATAATATTAATCTTATGTAGAATACAATAAGAAATTGAACTGTATAGCCTCAGGGACAACATCCTAGATGTTGCACATACAGTTCATCAGATTTCTCTGTATCCATAAAAATTGAACCATTGACTCACTCAGTCTAATCCTAGAAACTTAATGGATATTGAAGATTTATCAGGTGTGGTCCTAAACTCCTTGAAGGAAGATTCTTAAAGAAGACAAAGAGCGTGAAAAGAGTGTCTTTTCCACAAATGATTTCATTAAACACCAAAACAAATTTTCACCAAAACTCCATATCTATGAACATATACTGAAAGGAACTGAAGAAATATCAAATCTGAAAATCTATGTTTCCCATCCACCTCTCCAGAACCTGTAATCAAAATGCTTCCTCCCAACCACTTGGCATTGATAGTCTGTAAATATTTTTAAAACTGTGGAGAGCAATTATGAAATGTGAAAATGTTCAAGCACAAGCATTTTCCCCTGAACTATGCAAACTACATTAGTATTTGTCTGTTGCTATTTTTGGGAAGGAGGAGGTTTCAACCTACTGGAGACTTAACATTTTCTCTTTTATTTAGCAAAACTGAAGTATTCACATTCCCCAATCCTGTCTCACTGTCTCACTCACAGATTCAGACTTACTGGTTTAAATTCCAAAATTGTACACAGTTTGAGCTTATTGATGAATTTTGGAAAACACGATATTCAAAACCTTGTGCTCTGACAGACAACTGGTGACCCTTGTAGCCCCAGTTATTGTATAAAAATGAGTGATAAATTCTTCACCTTTAATGTTAGCAGAAGATAGCTATCCATCTGTATCATCTGAAATATTTACTAAACTTTTAAGGCTACACTAGTTCCCCACTCTCCAGTTTCATGCCATTAACTCCCATTATCCCCCAAGGACTTAACTCTATCTGATAAGGTATCATCTTTGCAATGTAGCAAATGTACTTTCACTTTAAAGAAAAATTGATTGCCATTAAAAAAGGGAAGCTGCACTTATTTTGAGATCCATTCCCTTTCCAGACAAACCTCTAAGTTTAACATTAAAGCATATTTGTTAAAATAAAGCAACTTGTTTGCTATTATACCAGTCTCCAATCATAATTTGTACATGATGTAATGCATGTGCATTTTGTTCCATTTTCCTGTTCCTTAGAAAAAGCATATAGATGTGAGCAATAAAACTCAACATAGCAAAATATGTATATCAGTCATGAGATGTGGAATGAGATGAGACTATGAGGCACAAGGAGGCTACATAATTCCATTGATCTTGGTCCACTTGTAGATAGCCTGCTAAGACACTATATCTGAGTTTATGAGAAGGTATCTGTCACCAACACAAAAATGTTTCTGGCAAGCAGCACACTTGAAGCATTCCAGATGGTACACTTTATCATTTACTCTCATAGTCGTCACATAGGATCACCTGAGAGAGTCTTTTCAACAGAACTCTCTGCCCAGATTATATTATAGTGTCCATACTTCATTTCTTCAAGATGGTACTCACATAAGTCACAGCTAAGACAGTCATAATGACAGTATTGGTCAGTGGCTTTTAGGAAATACTGGTTCCCAATATTCTCCCAACAACCTAACAGGGAAGGGGGGATTTGGAGCACCTCATCTACTGGCTCCATTCTAGTCAAACTGCTAACAACTTTCTCCCCAACTGGCTTAATTATAAATTTCTTTATTGGATCTCTCATCACAACCACTGTCAAGAATTATTTGTCTTAATGATTCAACATTACTTCCTAATTTGTGTGTGGGGGGAGGACAAATACCCATTATACTAGAATAAAGGTAGGAAAAGGATATGTTTCCATCTTCTGCTTGCAAGCATCTAGATGGCCATTGGGAGAAATACAATTCTGGATTAAGGCTAGACAGGGACTTATCCACCAGGACTGTTCTTATGTTCTTAAAAAGTACAGTTTAATCACGCCTTTATTTTTGGTGAGAGGAAGGACCTCAGATTTCTGTATTGTGTAACACAGCAGTTAAGGAAGCTATAAGAATAGCATAGACAATGCACTTCCCCTTAAGCCCTTAGAGCAGAGAATATAGATGTTACATGATGTTATACTTATGTGTACAGGTTTTTATAAGACTTCCACCCCTCTCCCTTGGAAGGGGATTTTTTCCCCCCTATTTTTATAGAGTGTATATCCGGTGTGATGCTTTTAGTTATGTTTATCACCAGGAGACAGGCACTACGTGACTGTTTTGTCCTATTTGGGACTCATCAGATGTAGGTAATCAGATGTTATTCTACTGGTTTATCATCTGGCTACTTACATCTGATGAGTCCCAGATCGGATGAAACCAGTCATCTAATGCATGCTTCTTAGTGATCAATGCAACAGTTAGCAGCTAATGGTGCCAAATAAGAAAATGATAAATTAGCTTTCATGGACATTAGCTTATGGAGTTGTTCTTACCTTTCCACCAGATTTGTGGTTAAAACTAGCAGAATGTGTAGTACCACATTGACAATAGGGAATAAAGTTCCCAAAAATAAATAAAGCGTCCAGATTTGTATAATGGAGTCCTTTTTATTAAATATGAAAACCAGTCTGTATAATCATTATACATTATATATAGACATATACTATAATAGAAGTCTTCAGAGTCCGCTGGACTGCTAGGAGGTCAAACCAGTCAATCTTAAAGGAAATCAACCCTGACT